AATGTCTAGTTCTATTAATTACTTTTTGCAGGTTGATTATGACGATCCTGAGTATCCCGCATGGTTTCGCGAATTACTTCAAGGTCCAGTTGCAAAGGTCATTGCATCATCGATGTATTTCACCCGAGGCTATACTTTTCATACCTATGACTATATATGGTAGATACCGGGCGACAAGTAATTATGGAATATGTGTGAAAAGCGAAACAAATTTCTACGGGATCTTGCAAGAGATTTATGAAGTTCAGTTCCCACGTATGAGTTTGAAATGTGTTTATCTTCAAGTGTGAGTGGTACGACCCCGTCGTCAACAGAGGTGTTCGGATTACCAAGAACGGTGTAGTTGATGTCAATGGTGGACGAAGGTATAACAAATTCTTTTTTTTTATATCCAGGTTTCGAGTATTAATTAATTTTTACATTGATCTTTATTTTTGTAGGTACAACAAGTTCGAGCTTTCATATTAGCTTCCCAAGCAGATCAAGTTTGCTTCATTCCATACCCTCGGATTATTACCGCGGGAATAAACTGGTTAGCTTTTATCAAAGTTACACATCGAGGATGAATAATCGGTGGAGAAGAACCACCACTACAAGAAGAAAACACCAATGAGATCGAGGAACCTGAAGCAGAAATTGATGACATCCTACTCCTTGATCCGCATAATCGTGAATAGAAGATGTTCCTAATCACTCAACGGACGAAGGTGTAGAGGACGAGTTTTACGAAAATTATGATGTTTCAACAGATTACGAGAATGTATCCGAATGAATTATGTATGTTTATAAATTTGTTTAATGACAAAAAATGAATTTGGATTATCTATGTTTTAAGTATGTTTAATCACAAAATTAATTTGCATTTGGGGTTTATGTGTAGAAGAGGTTAGGAGTTTGGTTGTAGAAGAGGTTATAAGTTAAGGAAGTTGTGGTTTGGGGTTTGGGGTTTCGAGTTTAGGGATTTACAAACGCTTTCCTCGTAAATCCCTAGTAACAGAAAACACGGGCATAGCTGTTTCCTCGTAAAGTCCTAGTAACATCATTACTAGGACTTTACGAGGAAAAAAACGTGGGCATAGTTATTTCCTCGTAAAGCAGTTTATTACTAGGACTTTACGAGGAAATAAAAACACGGGCATAACTATTTCCTCGTAAAGGCCTAGTAATGTTACTAGGGCCTTACGAGGAAACAAAATTCCTTATAAACTCGAGCCATCCGATTTCTCTCATTTGTAGTAAGCTTCTCGCTGAATCCTCTTAAGGTTCTCTCTATTTCCTAGTTAGGTGATTAGATTAGGGAATTTAGATTAGGTGGTTAGTTTAGGTAATTTAGATTAGGTTGGTTTACTTTTTTAACTGTTTTTAAAATTATATGGGAATTAATGTTTTGATTTTTTTTAAAAAAAATTAGATGCCTAGACAGAGCTAGATTGCTAAGGCTAAGAGGCCTCTTCAGGGGAGTCACTACGGAGATCTTTTCGGTCGTCACCCAGGCGCATCATCTTCGTCTGCTCCCGATTCTTCTATTCCAAATCATGACGCTGTTCCCGAGACTCAGGGAATTTCTATGGCGTCCCGGACTGACCAACCACCTCCTCCTCCACCACCACCTCCTTCTCCTGCTCCTCCACCGGTCGGGGTTCATCCCGATTTGCAAGTGCCGCCAAACGCACCATTTGCGGTGTACACGGTGGAGGATATTATGGCCCTTCCAGGCAGAGAAGGGCTATCAGAGTTAGATCCTATCCGACGGGACGACCACAATATATTATGGTATGTTTTAATTTTTAAAAAGCGTTTATAATTTATTTCTTAATCTAATTAATCTAATTGATGTTTTATTTTGTGTCTTTCCAGGTTTAGTCTTGACGGATGTGTCGTTCAGAGCGTCACGGACTGTATCAAGGGATACTTTGCCGATGCAGCTCCAAACTGGAAGAAGACGCCAAGCCACATAAAAAATGTGGTTCAAATCGTTCGCTGTAATCCGTCTCTTATTTTTTCTAGTTACAGCAAAAATTTCATTGGTCTATAGGGATTCACCAGCGGGTGAAGACGGAGTTTGAGGCGAAGGCAAGAGCACGATTGCTCGACATAGTCTACAACTGGAAGGGCGACTTTCAGGTGTGGATTTATAAATTATATATATATATATATATATATATATATATAGTTTAAATCATTTATTGACTTTAATTCTAATTATTTTTTGTTCAGGTAGATGGATACGAGGACGGGAAACCCGATTGTCTCACATTCGACGTTTGGGATGGCCTCATCAGATATTGGGGGTTGCCGGACTCAGTCAGAACCTCCCACACAAACTCCGGGAACCGCATGACAAAAGACGAGCATGGCAACACGAAGATGCTTCACACCACGGGTCGAAAACCTCACGGGGGAGTTCGTCTAGACATGGTAAGATGATTTTAATAACTATTTAATTTTTACTCTATTTGAATATTCCAAATTAATATTTAATTTTAAAAATTATTTTTAGGCTAAAGAGACATGATCTCTTCCATCTCTGAAAGACCTTTACGAGAGGACCCACCGAAACAAGGCTGGGCAGTTTGTAGATCCTAAATCCGAGCGGATCTACAATGAGGTTGTTGCCCGGGTTGACGAACGCCAGACCCAGCTGACTCAGCAGACTAGGACTCCAGTCATATTATCCACTCTTGAAGCGGATAAGATTTACGAGGAGGTAAATAATTTGTTTTACTATTAATTTTTATTATTTATTTAAATTTTTTCTTAACGTTATTAATATTTTTATTTACAGGTCGCCCCTAGGTAAAAGGGGTGTATCGTCGGGAACAGCACGATGTCAATGCTGAGCTGCGCTCGGAGTGGCAGGCGACGCAGTCTCATGTGAGTTCGCTCACTGATCATGTGAGTTCTCTCACCGATGTCCTGGACATTTTGGCGGTTGGAAACCCGCAATTGGCAGAGATGTTGCGTCAGAGATGGGAAAGCAGAGGGCTTCCAACCCAACAGCCTCCACCATCACAGTCACAGCCGGCAACCAACTTTGAAGAGGAGGATTTGGCGAGTCAGGACGATTTCGTTCGGCAATTTAATGACCACCATCCGTAATTTTTTACTTTTAATTGTATATTATGAATTTTAAAACTTAATTATATATTATTTAGTTATTTATAAAATATTTATTTATTTTTTTTTTTTTATATTTGGTTTTTAAAATTTTTTAAAAATATATTATTTATATTTATAATTAATATTTTTTTAATAGGGAAAAAATGTGAAACAAAATTCTTGTAAAGGTTCGAAGTAATGTCCTCGTAAAATATTCTAGTAAGTTCCTCGTTATGTTTTACTACGAGCTTACGAGAAAATAATTTACTATGACTTTACGAGGAAATTGTACGAGGACCTTACAGATGAAAAGTTATCCACGCGTTTACGAGGAAAAGTTTCCTCGTAAATTAAGTAGGACCTTACGAGGAAAAAGATTTCACGATGAACGTGTTTCGACGAAACGCGTTTCCTCGTAAGTTCCTAGTAAATGGTTATTTACTAGGAAATAACGAGGAAAAATGGTCCTAGTAAAGGACGAGTTTTCTTGTAGTGTTAGTTTTATATTTTAGTTCTAAAGATATATGATATGAGGATTTATATCAATATTCTTTTACATTTAATATATATATTTATTTTTGGTTTTACATTTTAATTTTATTAGATAAATATGATTAATACAGAAATTATTTTTTCTTACATAAGAAAAATAGAAGTCATTCATATATATATATAAACTATAAAACGACCAAACTCATGAGTTAGCTCATGTTCATTAAAGATCATTCATATAACTCATGATCTAATTTAAACTCGGTCATTAAAATCATTTATTATATGAGTCTAAAAAATAGAGACCATGTTCATGAAAAATCGAGCTGACCTGAGCCAGCTCATGAGCTATGGTTCATTTTGACACGCCCCTAGATTTAAGAAGCTGTGCGATTCCAACCTACATCACCATCAGCAGGCAGAAACAGAGTTCAAAGAGAGCACCATCGTAGCAGGAGTTTGCTTTCAAAATGATAGAAATCACTGCAGTCAAGAACAAGGTTCATGAAAATTACAGCCATGGGAAGCATATAAGCTGCTTGTATAAATGAAGCATAATTGTTCTCAATAGAAGCTTCTAAGAACTGAATCATGTTCTTGCAGTATCTAAATTCTATTACTTCAAGCGATCCAACACTTGCTTTACTCACACCCGTGGCTCACAAGAAGTTACAAGGCATATGATCCACTGACCTCATCTAGAGCTACCTAAAGAGAGGGACTTGTCTTCCTCTGATGAAACGTGATTTATCTCTTTCACTTTCACCAACTCCATTAGTGAAGAATCTAGCACCAGAGAATACAGTTTCGTGTCATGAACGGGCTCTCATAACCAAACCATCAATTTTTCAAACTTTTCAACCGGTTCTCAAGAATTTAGGTTCCATTACATTAAGGCAATAAGTAAAAACTAACTTTTGTTTGTCTTATGTCCGCTGGTCTGGTCTGATCAAACTAACAGTTAGTTTGGTTATATTGGTTGTTTTTGTTTGTCATGGTTATAGGTGTCAGAAAGATGTCAGCAGCCATTTTGAATACGTCTCTATTCTTCTCTTACATTAAAGATATGTTGTGACAGAATTATAAACAGTAAAGATGGTAATGGTATAAATGTCTTACAAAATTTTGACTATTACAGTTTTCAGCTGACTATACAAACATAACCTTCATAATTACAAAATTTATTGGGGGAGTAGTGACGATTGATGGGAAATGAAGAAAGAAGCAATCATCTAAAATCTTTTACTTACAATGAGAAAGATCTTTTACCATCTCAACCATATCATCGAATTATATCTAAAATCATGGATTCTTACGTCTTCTGAACTTAAATGTCTTACCTAGACAAATGCAGAAACAGCATGACACCATATTATCAGTAGAACTGTGCGAGTACGAGAGTTACTGACCTGTGGCAACCAAACTCGTTTGAAGTAGTTCTTTAGCAGCTCCTCTAAACTCATATCCACCACTGATCGCTTTGAGTTGGACTTTCCGCTTCCAACAAATCTGAATTGCTGATGCTCGAAAACGGAAAGGAAACTATTTCAAATCCAGGGGCTATAAAAGGGGAATGATTCACCGGAGAGCTGGAATGACTATGATAGTATGTGTAGCCTCTTGTTAAACAATCTGATGAGCTATTTGCGTGATGAAATGTCTGGAGATCAGCAACTACATCTTCGTCATCAATCATATGCCTCTCGAATTCATGCTCAGAATGGCTGGTTTCGTTTGTTGTTGGTAAGAGGAAACTGCCAGAAGAGTAATCAGAGAGCAGAGGTATAGGGTACAGCTCCCTCGTAACAACATCATGGGATGAAGAATAGTCAGAGCTCCATGGACTATCAGCCAAAGATGATGATGATGCATTTGGATACGTGATGAGTTTTGTGTGATAGCTTAGTGGCAAATCATCTGTCTCTCTGGTGCTTGTGTTTTCAGTGTTCCACTCGAGAAGTAATGCAGATGAAGGCTCCTTGTGATCATGTGATAAGGCCTCTGAGCTGTATCCAATTTCTTCTCCATGATAACCCAGTGAAAGAGACTTGTAGTTTCTGAAATGGAGACTAGAGTCCAGAGTTTCTTCAAAAGGAAACGACGCCTTCTGTGTCAACAGTGGAGGTCTATACACCAACTCTTTAGGATATGAAATGGAAAAGCTAAAGTCTTCAGGAGCTCTTGGGATTAAACTGTCGTGAACATGACTCGGTACGATGCTATTTTCCAGCCATCTCCGACAAGATATCGATTTGTTCCTCTCCGTTTGCAGTCTATGGCCACCGTCTGTATAGCTTTCATGGGGCCTCTTGAGAAACTTCGATCCAGGAGAATTAAGAAACGTTCTTCTGTTGACTCTATCTGTCCTCTCCTTGGAAAACCTAGATAGCTGAGAGGCAACCAGAAAGTGCATAGAATTCATCTCAAGATAATCAATTAACATGTTACATGCAGTCCAGGATTCAATCAAGTATCAAGCTTACATGACTCTCCTCGGTTGGAGGGAACAGCCGAGTTAAGAGAAGAGAAACTAAATCGCCCCTGAAATATGATCCTCATCTGAGAACACCATCTATAGAGACAATCCTTAAGATAGAAAGATAAATATATTGTGTACCCGTTTGAGGAAAGGTGGGGGATGATTTGAGGAAACCAAGTATGTTTGACCCACTGATTCAGTCTCTTCCTCTTGAGAGAGAAAAAGTCTTCCATCTCATCACTGCTTCCTGATAATCCATCAAGACTTAAAAAAGAAAAAAATCATGTTTGTTAACTATTGAAACACAAAGGATATCAGAACTCTACCTCCTCCACATGTCAGGTTGCTGTTACCACTTCGAACTGTGTCCTTATCTCTACTGAATCCTAAAGAACATTTCCCATGTTCTTTCTCTAAGAAGAGCAGCAAAAAAAGACTCAAGATATGATAGGCAAGAGAGCATAAAAATCAGAAGAAAGGAACCTTTATCCTTTGGAGGCAAGTTGAGAGGTGAACCACGCCTAGCATTACAAATGGGAGTGGAGAAGTTACAAGTAGTATTGCCTATATCTTTAGCTTCGGGGTCTGTTGTTCCTGCAAAAGCCAAGCAGGACAGAGTATGAGTCTATAATCAATTTTTTATCAAAAAGAAGAGATGATAAAACCCTAAAACCATTAATTGTGGATTTTTGACCTCCTGGTTTGCTTCTGGATTCAAAAGCTTTCGGATTTTGTCTCACTTCGTTTGAACATTTGGATTCAGAGGAGAGGCCAAAACTAGACTTTAACTTGTTAAAGAAGGCAAACTCTGAGGTCTTGGCTGCAGATGAGAATCAGATTCATCATTCAATACCCTGAGAGAATTACAGAGGCCAGAGAGAGAGAGAGAGACGAACTCACTCACATGGTCCGGTTGGGGAATGATTCCGATGAGGATCTACATCGACGAAACTCACATTTCTCTTGCGTTTCAACTCTAAACCAAAATCAGGAACGGAAACTCAATACAAAAAGATAGTTAAAACGAAATTGAGAGTTTTGGAGATACCTCGAGAGGTGGAAGGATCAGGATTCGTCGTGAATCCACCGCTCTTCTTCTTTAGGGTTTCCGCTGCTTTCGTTCGGTGATTCCCTCTTCTCATGACGATACTATTCAGCTCAAATTGTCGGAGGAGAGAGATTTCAAGCCTTCCATGGGAGATTCGAAGGAGGAGAGAGAGAGAGAGATTCCATGACATAGAGAAGAGCTTTTAACGGTATTCGGGCCTCGGCCCATTAAGTTTATAACGGTCTTCTGCGCGCGAGAGGTAGCTCGTATGATCGGTACATAGCTAATTATGAATTTATGATCTATGACTTTTGTAGTCAGTAAATTTCGAGTTGTGATTAGAGAAAACTGGAAGTAAATGTTTCAGGTGAATTACATATCTTTAATAAGTATTTGGTCTATACATAATACTTTAAGACTTGTGGGGCTAATTTGTAGTTTTAAGACTTTTGTAAAAATAAAGAATCAACTTTAGAGATATGGGTGGTTCAGGGTCTGATTGGTGTCTATATTTTAAAGGCTTTGTGATTATGTAAAGCCATAAAAATCAAAAAACTACTAATCACTTTTTTTAGGTTTTACAAATCTGTAAAATTTTAAAAGCCCATTTTTTTAAATATCTGTTTTTTATATATTTTTATAGCCACATTTTTAGATTTTAATTCTCTCCTTCAGTTTTTTTTATTAAACATGGGGAACCTTTTTTATCTTTTGTTCACTTTTTAACAAAAAAAAAAACAATTAGTATAATAACTGATAATTGTTTTGGACATCAAAAAAGTCATAATAACCTACTATTATTAGTTGACAAAAAAATATTATTATTACACATTAATTTTGTTAAAGACAAATATATTATTATTAGACATCTTATTTATTAAAACAGAAGTTATGACTTCTTTTATGTGTGATTTTTTTTTAAAAAAATTTGGACCATCCTTAAAATCTTTATCAAACTATACATCACATAATTATAATATCTTTTCATATCTTTAATTTTTAATTGAAATACAAATCAATATTTTTATATGAAAATTCTAACAAAATCTTTTTAATATCTTTTAGAATTTTTTTTTAAAAAGTGTATTGGAAAATTAAATAATTTTTAATTAACATGCAATATATAATTATGTTTCATTCATTTTGATTTATAAACATAAATTAGAAATTATGTAAAATAATTTCGAAAGACAATTATTATATTGAAATAAATATGATAAAATTATTTTAAATTGATAAATTTATAATTTTATTTTCATAAATATAAACTATTTATTTTAAAAATATAATATGATGATAGTACAACTTTAAATTAGCAAACTATATAATACATGTCTAAAAATGAACATATCATAGACTTTTGTATATACATAATCTATTATCAAAAATGTATAAACATAAAAATATTGGTACAAGAAAATCCAGACTTGGGACGGGTCAGAATTTAGCATAAATTAAATACAAAATAATTTTCAAATATGTTTTCTCATGACTATATTAATTTCCTTAATAACTAAATGAAAATAAAATAAGATAAATGTATAATAAGAAGTGAGAAATATATACGGTTCTAAATAAGTGATTAATATAATATGTAAATTATAAAAATATTATATTTGAAATAGTTATATAAACATTTAAATCTATAATTAATGTTAAAAATATATACCACTTATGTTTTAAATATTTATGTATATGAAAGTGAAAACAAACATCTGTGCGGTTGCACGTGTCAAAATCTAATTAATATTTTAAAGACAAAAGAAAAATTCTATAGGTAACTGAAAACATTTACGAAGTTTTCAAAAAAAAAAAAATCAAATGCTATTTAAAATGGAGAAATTAGGTCTCCTACCCACACATTATCTGCTATTTAGGAATATACCAAATACTACTATTCACTCACTGTACAAAGTCGAATATGACTATGTTACCCCTACACAACAAGACTGGCGAAGTTGGGAGTAGGCAAAATCTTATAGAGAGATTGCGAAGATCTTTTTGTGCCAAAAAAAAAAAAGATTGCTATTGCATCTCAAAACTCGTCTCTCTCATCTATCCTAGAGACAATTTTCTTTGGATGTTTCATCTTTTGAAGTTGGGAGAAGGGAGAAACCCAAGAAACAAATCCAGTCTTTGCTTTAATGAGTCGCAAAATTGTGGGTTTTGAGTCCTCGCCTCCTTCTGCGCTTGCGCCGGAAAGTTCTGTAGCGGCGAATTTGCTTCCTCCTCGTTTCGATTTCATGCGACTGACGAGGAACTTATGAGATTACTTGAAGAAAAATGTTCTGGGTATTCATCTTTTTTTTTTCTGGGTACTCATCTATCCTACGGAGGATCGTTGTGACAACTCGTCATCGCCCCGTCCATCTCAGTCGCGAAGGATTCTTTTACATCTTTGGTAAAATCTTTGTAGGAAAAAAAAACACGGTGGAGAAGATATTATAATTTTTTTTTTACATGCTCACTCTCCCTGGAGATCTGTTAAAGATCATCCACATATCTTTTTAAATCTTTTTTATATTTTCAAAATCTAGGTGTCAGCTAGAATCGTACAAAACTGAGTTAAAAGTGGAATAGTTTATGCTGGAGGGTTGAAGTCGTCATTTCACAACTACTTTATCTATAATAAAACCTAACTTTTACTACTATAGGTATTTACTTAATTTCACACTTCTTTTCGGGTATTGAGCAAATTGACTCTACATAATATAAACATGCAAAATTTTGTTCAATATTTTATTCTATAACATGTAATAATTGTGAGTATAACATTTAACTTTCTAATATCTGTTGATTAAAAATTATAATCTCTTTTATTCCATTCACCCCATACATGGCACGGATTACCACCTAGTGTATATTATAACTGGATAATACAAAAAAAAAAAAACAGATTGTGATAGTATTAGCCAGAAAATATATTGACTATGTAATTTATTTATACTTAAATAAGGTCAAATTAGCTCAAATACATATGAATTTATCTTATGTTATTACAATAAATACACTAATATTTAGGAAAGAGTAATATAACCAGATAATACAAAGACGATCCGAAAAATGACAATAATAACCAGAGAATAGCTCTTATATCCGTAATATGAATACGTATTATAATTATGTATATACAACTTGAATTCAAGTTGAATTATTATAAGAGACAAATTAATATGTACAATTAAGTCCTAACCGGATATTATAAAATTAATCCGGGTAGACTGTGTAATAGCCAACAAAATTATTTTGCTATCCGAGATTTGAAATACTGTTAAGTATCTTCCAAAAAATCCGGTATTGTTATCATATTTCAGATAAACAAGAAATCGTTACGTTTATGTAGCTATAGTTCTTAAGAAAACTTCATAAAATCCAAAATCAATACACATTAAGATTTATTAGATTTATGAAACTAATCGCATACCTGCTAAGTGAGAAAAATGGGACCAAAACAAAATATCATTTCATAAAAACTATTTTCCACAAACGTCCTCAAATGTTCAGATTCAATATCTTGAATTTAAGACCAAATCCTCCTATATCACCCAACAAATCATTTACGGGAGCAAAACTATGTTGGTTGCGAATCTGAACCAAGTCTCATGTTTCTTCTTCACTTTCAACTGATGCAGCATGATATATCTTGAAAATCTTCCAAAAATGAAGTTTTATCGGTAATTTCCAACATATTATCGAAGTAGGATTGTTGGATCCTCTGTATCTCATCTTCTTCTAGAGTATTCAGTATGCGTTTTATCACCTTAGTGACTAGTAGGTTAGAACTTGTACTCCGATCGGTTCATCTCCGGTAACAAAAATCATTTATGGAACAGTGATGGAAGACTCAGAATCCATTGAAAAAAAATCTCAGACGGGTCTTTTAGAAGTAGTTATTTTTTCAAGATCTGGAATATAATTGGGAATGGAGAATGTTTTCTTTAGAGATAATAACATTGAGTCGATTATATGTATAAGATTTTTTTTGCATTAAATGAGGAGTTCTATGTTGAGTTTGCTCGCTTTGTTTACTATCATTTTGAACCTATTTTCTAGCAGTAGGCACCTAAATTGACACAATCAGACGATTTTCTAGTATCAGGATAGGGGTAATAAAGATAATTTCAGTCATTGGCGTTTTGCACAACCTGTCTATATCTACATTCCTAATTTAAATATAGTTCAACATTTTTCACCTAAATAATTCTTAAAAAATCTATTTTAATATACATGAAAAAAAATTCATTGTCATTAAACACAAAATAAATAGAAAGAACTTCCAAATTTAATGGAACAAAATCCCAGTTCAAGACAATAAATGAAAGATGTTCGAGATGAGATTGCAAACATCATATGAACTAGAATCCGTTAAATTTTTAGTAATATTTTTGTTTTATTTAATAAATAAATAATATGTTGTTGATAAATTTTGATTGATCTCTTATTTTAAACTATCCAATATATTTTATGGATTTGCATAAATAAATGATAAAATGAAATAAATAAGTTCTATATCCAAAAAAAATTATGTCACTCAAATTTTATTTTTTTCTTAAGTAACAGTTACAATTTTAAAAACTAAAATCTCTATAGCCATAATTCTAAAATCTTAAAGCGAAAATCATTACCAATCGAAACTTTGTTGAGGATTTTGGAGTTTTGAAATTTGAGCATCTGCAATATGTTTTTGGCTTTATTTCTCTCTTGATGTTTTCTTGTCTCCCACAACATCAATCTCTCTCACACACACTATAAATTATGTATGACGATGATATACATAAACAACATTAACACAGAAAAAAACACCAGTCCTTGATGAAACATAAAGATCCTTAAGACGGTAAACGATTATTCAAACACCTGAAAATAAGGTGTTGTGTCTGCAAAATGCAATCTATCCAAAGTACACAAAGCCAAAACATGTGCTTTTCCTCTCCTCCACCTCTCACACATCTCAATATGATGACCCTTAATCGTTTGGCTCATGGATCTGGATCGATGTTTTCGACAAGCTTGCTTCCAATTCATCAAGCTCATCCATGTCCAAATCATCATCGTCATCATCTTCGTCGTCTTCATCCACTTCTTTCGAACTCTGTTCAGCATCACCACTGCTCTTGCTTGTCCCTGCCTCCGCTTCTTTGTTCTTTTCCTGAGAAGCAGAATAACTCAAGATTCCATTAACATGGCTTGGTTGTTTTAAATGATTGAGTGTGTAAGAGGAAGAGAGAGTTTACCTTCTGTTCAATCTCTTCCTCTTCTTTTTCCCTCTGGTATTCTTCAAAGGCCTCAGCATCATCCACAAACAAGCTTGCATTCGACAGAAACAGCTCCCGACCACTGAGATCATACACAATGAATCAGCTTACGAGGAACAAAACAATGAGTCACACAAAGTAACCAAATTGATGACTGGTGAAATACCTCATACGGTCGTTCTTAGCTCTCTCGGCTTGAGAAGCAGCCAAACCTGCATCTCTCTCAGCTATTTTCTTCCTCTTCCATTCCATAAATAGCGCAGGTGTCATTTGTGTTGCCGTTTTCAGTTTTGCACGCTGTAACATTAGACCAAGAAAAAACATTTTTACCCAGTTAACACGTACGGGTCAAAACTTCAGGGACCTAGCAGCGATGAGCGGATTAAGAAAAGCTGGAAGAAGAATGAGTATTAAACCTCGTTTTCGATTTCTTCTTCAACTGGCATCTTTTGTGACTCCTCTTCCAAGAGAGCCTTCATTTGAGACTTAAGGATATACCCAGGGGGAAGAGCGTGTCTGTAATGACACTCTTTCCCACCATTGGGGCAAGCCCAAAACCACCCATACTGTTTCTTTTCCACAGCGTCCAGAAAATACTTGCAAACCTATTTATATATACCGGTAAACGAAAAAAAACATTTAGCAAACTAATGGAAGCTCTCATGGATAAGCTCAATGATGTCTGTACAGCATCGTCTACAATAGTTTTTATGAGCAAACAGGATTATTATATATCTTAGTCATTTATCGAATAAGCCAAGGATATTGTTAAAAGGCAATCACATCCATGAGGAACAAATGCTTAAGCACTAGCATCACGAGCGAGTTCTTGTTTGGTTCGGTATGGTCAAAGCAGAAATCAACAAAGAACATAGGAGGCAAAAGCAAATGTAAGAACCAACTGGAATCTAAGAAGAACCATCCTATTAGCTAAAAGGCAACATATCATAAGATTCCATATCAGCTAAAGCTTAATCACAGATTCACGAGTCAACAAGTAACACAACCTAAACTTGTGCATCACCTCACTTAATTAATGAACATCCATCTCATGCGAAAGGCTGTATATTCATTCATACACAAACCAGTTCGCATACTGCATTAACAAGAGAACATCTATGGATACGCAGTGTGGCCCCAAACACCATGTCCTAAGTAACAAGTCTGAGATACACACAGGTAAAGAAACCACTTACAATATCCGTTGGCTTGTTCTGGTTATATTCATTTTTCTTTGATTCCACGACCTTTTCAAGGGTCTCTTGATCCCACTCCTCCATATCTCCATCTTTTCCAAACAATTTAAAAACACCATTGTTCAAGAAGGGATATAAATAAAAGACACTTTGTTTGCTCTGCTACATTAATGTTTTTACCTTCATCACGCTTATCGCTGTAAATGTCGATCTTCTCACCCTTCCGTTGAATGTTCAAGTCATGAGAGAATTTACACTTAAATCCCTTTTGACACTGCCCGGCCTTGAAAAACTCACACAGGATGGACTTGGGATCAACACCTGCCAAGAAAACATGAACACGTTCTATAAATACATCGAAACAACACAGGGAAGACTGAACTTTTTACATCAAAGCACATTTGTTAATGAAAAAAAGGAGAAAATTACCAACAGGGACTTTAGGCTGACTAATGGCAACCTTAAACAACTCATTCAACTCCTGTTCTCTCGCTTTCTCTTCCTCTTTCTTTTTCTGTCCTCACACACACACACACACAAAAAGACCATTTCTTTCGTAAGAATCTAATCGAAGAAAGAACTAACTACAAACTATCACTAGCAAGAACATTAACTCCTAATCAATCAAGAAACTCAAAACCCCATTTCATCATGACATCAAACATTACCTTGGCTGCAGCTTTAGAGGCATCTGGTTTAGGCTGAACAGATTGCTTGAGACTCTGGACATACTTCTGAACATTCTTGCTCTTGTTCTTGTTTTTCAGACCAAATGTTTTGTCTTCAACTTGCTTCTGCTTTTTCGCCAAATCAGCCTTTGGTTGTTGCTTTGGAGGCATCTTCTTCAAAAAATACACACGGACTAACCTTACGTCGTATCTAGTGGAAAGACCTCTCGAGAACGTTCTAAAGCTAATGTATCAAAATTAGGTTTTTTAAGGCTCTGAGTTTAGAAGAAAAAAAACACAGAAACTGAAAAAGAGACCGAAAAATCCGAATCGAACCAAAACGGCGGAGATTCAGAAATTTCCACCGATGAGCAAAAGCAGAGACCCTAGAATCACTAATTACCGATCGAGACAAAAGAGAGATGAGACAAAGGTACAACATTTGCCTGATATGTCTACTCCACAAACATTAACGATATATGGGCCTTTTAAAGGCCCGACTATATGCTAGTTGGCCTGACTATGTTATAGCTCGGTTATCAAAGGCCCGTTAAGTTTATAACTTTTAACGGTCTTCTTCTGCGCGCTCCCAAGGTAGTTAGTTCATCGTCAACAACAGTGTGACTGAACAACATTCTTTTATTCAATTTATTCAACAGAGAAAACTACAATAAACACAGCTAAATAGTAAATACTTGTCATCAAATCTATAACAGATTTTGTAATACTAATGACATATTTTCTTTTATATTAAATATTTTCTTTTGTACAAACTAATACCATAAGTTCCTTTGTTTATGGTTTCCTTGTTTCCACCAAGTAGAAGTGACCCATAAATAATAACCGAACGTCTTTGTACTCTTCCCAGCAAAACAATATCTCTGTGATATTTAGAGAGAGAGAGGGGGAGATCCAATGAGACACAAATAAAAAACTCGGTGATTTCATCTGAGAGATTCTTCCTCCTGTTTATTGAATGGTGTTCTTGTATTGGTTTCTCTGAGTTACACTACTGCAAGAAACTGAAAGCTGGGTTCTCCACAAGTTCCTCAGCAGGTTTCACTTGTGCAAAGTCCTTATCTTGCATTGAACTCGATAAGTCATCGATCAAGAAAGATATGCTGTTGCTGCGCCACACCAAAAAGAAACGGTATTGTTTAGTTACAAGACACAAACAAACAAAAAGGTCATCATTATCTTTTTGATGTTCATAGCAGCAACTTATATTGGCTTTTACATGGGTAATAAGATGTCTAGATGCAAAGCCATACTTACCTAGAATCATCTTTCAACAAGAAATCGCTGCTGTCTGTCATAACTCCTGCCATGTTCTCTATGACCTGTTTGATGGATCGATCATCAGAGGATCAAAACTAGTAGAACAAAAGGATGAAACAATTAGAACAGCTTTTCTTCAGAAAGCTTTACCTCTTGCGAAACACTTTTTGTGTAGTAGATTTCATCCTTGTACAAAGTACATAATCTGAAATGCTGCTGTATTCTAAGATTCTGAATGAAGCGGAAAAATGGTGTCAGCGTGACCACAAAAGTCAAAGTTCATCAAAAGGAGTTGGTTGATAGAGAGACTTACTGGACACAAATCATTTGCCATCTCATTGTATGAGATTTTGAACTTATTATGAATGAGCTGTTGTAGATAGGAATTCAAGGAGAAATGCAAACTCTTTACTTAGATTCAAGTACATTTAAATTTCTCAAAAATTCAAAACAAGTTATAGAACGTACCAAGAATCCAACAGCCTGTCTGATATGTTTGAGTTCATCCCAGCATGAGCCAGCATACTATCAAAGACGAGTAGCAAAGGTGAGAAATATTGTATTTATGTATAAACTAATTGACACAACAAAATGGAAGAAGAAAAAGGAAACTGTGCTACCTCTTCATTTGTTTTCAAGCACCAGATCTCTAACTTTTCTAAACCAGATTTTACATATTCTCCATTGATAAATGAACAGTTATCTGGTCGCGTCATAACGCTGTGAAACAAAATTAGTCGAGGTCGATTAAAATCTGCTTATCATAAAGATTCATATTCCAAAACAGACAAGTTAATAATCTCACACCTGTTCCACAATTGGACATTAATGAGTGAGAAAGCCTGAGAAAATATCTTCTGGATAAGAACCAGAGGAACCTGTAACAAGAATTAAGCTAGTATGAGTATGTTGTCATTTAGAGAGAGAAGAACATTGAGTAGAAACGAGTTTCACATACAAAGTTCTCTTTAAATGTGCTCAGCAGTGCATCTAGTCCTTCAATAATCCCTTGCCAGTATTTAGCAGTGCTATCAGACATTAACGCAGTTCCCTTGAACGTTTTTGGTGCCTAGAGAGATTATCTCACGTCAGATTACAACATATACAAAGGCAAGATGAAAATAGAGAAGCATTGTGGGATCAAAGCACCTGGATGCAGAGAGTAAGGGAAGTGTTCAACTCCTTTTTCAGTTTGTCCCACATAATCCCAATAATCTTTTCAACATATGCTGCAAGCTGCTGCTTGAAATGCAAAGCTGGATCCTTGGCATCAACTGGTCGAATCGCTTCAGCCGCTGGAGAACGGAAACCCTGGTACACAAAAGGTAAGGATTGCTTAGTTTTTTGGAGCATACACTCATCAACACATGACAAAATTAAAAAAAAAACAAAAGGAAGGGTGTATCTACCTTGGTCATCCATCGGACCAAGGAAGGTGACTTTCGAAGTGGAGTGGCTCCGGTTCCACCAGATCTGAGACTTTGTTGTAGCATGAACAATAATGTCGAAGTGTTGGATAACCAATATGCCAAATTAGCGTTGTCGTCTTCATTCTGATAGTAAGAAGAACCATTAGTCATTCTCATTCTGATAAAAGAAAAACATATTTCTACGGAAGTGAACAAGGCAACCTCTCAGTTTAGTACCTTAATAGCAGAACCAATCACTTGAACAAGACGATCAAATACATTGGTTTTTTCTGCTTCAAAGGATTTCCAATGAAGAAGGCATTTGTAGATGGTAAATGCCGCTACAGGCTTCCCCTGACTAAATCCAACATTTTTTGTGACGCAGCTGATTAGGGCTTCCACATCCTCCTGTACCAAGAAAAATAAAATATCTCTTCAACCAAGGACGGAGAGGACGTGATCGAGTAAATTTACCAAACAACATACATGTTGAGGGTCAATATGGGAACCCTTGGATTCTTGTATCCTTGCTGGGGTTGTAAACATAGTTCCCTGCAGAGACGGATCTTAAGGATTTACAAAAGAAATGGAGCAGACTATCAGATAAAAGTAGACGGTAAAGCAAAAGACATAACTTACAGTGAGTTGATTTTCTTCGCTAGGATGGTGGCCAGTTTGCAAGTTCTGCGCGAGTAAGAGCAGTATTGTAATTAGGATGATTGATTGAGAGAGTCAGATTTAGTCAATTCAAATATTTTTCTAGAATGTCTACCTTTACTGGAGTAGAAGAGAAACGTCCTGATGCTGACTTAACAGGTGTGCTTAAGACAGATTGCTTCAAAACTTGATTCTCGTTTATCACATCCTCTAGCGTCTCTTGGAGTCTGCAAATGAAAAAAAATGGCACATTGACTATCCGAGAGTTATGGAAACTCAATAGCTAATAGACCATAGTTAATACTTGTGCATGGCGGTCTTCAAATTAACAATTTTGTCTTCAGCTTCTAAAGTCTGCTTCAGCTTCTCCTCTAATTTTTTTTCTGTTTCATCAATCTTTAGCTCCAGCGAACTTACCATGGACTGCAATATGAATAAAGAAGTGAAATCTCAAACAAGGCTTTGGTTTCTACAAAAAAAATTAACTAGAGCAAATTCCCTACCTTGAGGTTTTCATTTTCACTCTTGAGTTTCTCCACTAGCTCGGTGTCAACAATAGGAACCTCTTTTACTACCGGAACAATTTCTGCAGTTCTTTTCGCAGCTTTCACTTCCTTTAAGAGAGAAACTTTGGCTTCCTTAAACTGGAGTTGTATTTCCTTCAATGCTAATTGTAGTTTGGCATTTTCTTGTGTTTTACTTTCTTCCACGTCCACCTGCAATGTCAAAGCCACAATGACAGGTGACGAGTTTGTTGAATCAGTATCCAGAGAGAGAATTTTGGAAATGACAACTCCGAGGATGGATAGAAAACTGAAAAAAGAAGGATAAAGGGCCATGTTTTACTGACCCTCATGCGTTTCTCTAGCTGCAGTCTCAGCGTGAGATCTTCCACTTGCTTCTCAAGCTTACTCTTCGCAGCTTGTAGGGCTCCAGTTTCCTTTGCAGCCTGCAGAAAATATGAAGCCATCATTGCTGAAGTTAATCATTTTGGAGGAAAGAGAGCATGTTCTGTCTCCGTGTTTAAAAATTAAAACAATCAAGGAAAGGGCAATTTTCAGCTGCTATATCCATTATCTAAACTCATCTAGTCATATTTTTGTAAGCTCATCTTCCATGTGAAATGCTTAGAACTGAAAATGTCAAAAAAGATTAGGCTCACCATTCTAAGCTCTCGCAGTTCTTTACGGGCTAATCTTGCTCTCCATGCACTCTGTGTAGTAATCGCTGCTTTCTTCAGCTTCTTGTAGTGGGACTCGGCCAGGAATCTACGGCAATGGATCTGTATATGCAATGAAAAATTAAACTCTAAGATAATTTGGAGGGATGAGAAAAGCCTTCAAAGCTCAAAGATGAAAAGAAAAAAGGGAGAGATTTCATCACCTGAATAACAAGTGTGGCCTTGATCTTCCTTCGTAGTACATTGCGAGCAGCCATACCACGCAAACTTGACTGAACTGTAACCACGGCTTCTATGTAAGACCGCCTATCAAGGTAGATCCGCAAAGCTTTCTGGATCTTCAAAGCAGCCGCTTCCTTTCTGCGCAAGTCCTCAAATCTATGTCGAGCAAGTTGACCTGTAAATGATGGATAACAAAGCAAATAATTAATGAAACAGTCGCATTTGTTCTCCAACTAACTGAATAGTTAAATTAAATAATACTCTCTACAACTTTTAGATACCTCTGCACACAGCCTGAATATTTATTGCAGCTTTGAGGAGCAGGTAGGAACGGAATTTTCTCTGTATAATTCTGGCTGCTCTTCCCATGACCTCGGTCCTCCGAGCATCTAATTCAGCCATCTGCCCAGCCATGAGGAGAACCTTCGTCTTTCCAATCTGTAATATCAAGAACGTTAAGCTCGACGTTGAAGCAGAATAAATCAAACAAGTATTCATCAAAGTTTCCATGCTTGACGTG